GTGTAACCAGCAATGTTACACATCACATCTCGACTACAGGACCACCTGTATTTTCGAAAGCTCGAAGACTCGCTCCCGAGAAGCTTAGGTTAGCTAAAAACGAATTCGACCACATGATGGACCTAGGGATAATTCGACCATCGAATAGTCCATGGGCATCCCCATTGCACATGGTCCCTAAAAAGGACAGCAATGATTGGCGGCCAACTGGTGATTATCGGCGTCTGAAAGCTAAAACCATTCCCGATCGTTACCCGCTGCCCCACATTCACGATTTGACAGCTACCTTGAAAGGTACAACTGTGTTTTCGAAAATCGACTTGGTTAAAGCTTATAACCAAATCCCGATGGCACCTGACGACATTCCTAAAACCGCCATCATCACTCCCTTCGGTCTTTACGAATTTCTACGAATGCCTTCTGGTTTTAGAAATGCGGCTCAATTCTTCCAAAGTTTCATAGACGACGTCTTAAGAGGTCTCAACTTCGTACATGCGTATGTTGATGACTGTCTAATAGCAAGTCCGGACAGAGAATCGCATCTCAAGCATCTGGACATTGTTTTCGATCGACTCCAAAGGCATGGCATTACTATCAACATACAGAAATGCCAAATCGGAACAAACTCCTTAGACTTCCTAGGACACACCATTGATGCCCAAGGCATACGACCCCTTAGGAGCAAAGTGGCGGCCATTCTAGATTACCCAGAACCGACGACGATCAAGCACTTACGAACTTTTAACGGCCTTGTAAGTTTCTATAGACGGTTCATACCCAAATGCGCATCCCTTATGAAACCGTTAACCGACCAGCTTCGTGGAAATGCGAAATCAATTAGTTTAGACGACATAGCCCGTAAAGCATTTTCCACAGTTAAGGAACACATCGCTAAAGCAACCTTGCTTGCTCATCAGGACACTCAAGCGCCCATCAGTATCGCCGTAGACGCACCCGGCTCAGCAATCGGAGGAGTCTTACAACAATAGGTTAACAACTCGTGGCAACCCTTAGGATTTTTCTCGAGACGGTTGCTAGACGCGGAATCTAGGTACAGCAAATCCGGTAGGGAACTACTAGCTATGTATTGTGCTGTACGGCATTTCCAACATTCCATCGAAGGAAGAGAATTCACGCTTTTTACCGATCACAAACCTCTTACCTTCTCCTTAAGTTCATCTTCAGACAAGTACTCACCGCGAGAGTCTCGACAACTCGACTACATTTCGCAGTTTACTTCAGACATACAACACATTTCTGGAGTTAATAATGTAGTCGCAGACGCCTTGTCTCGAATAAGTTCCTTGAACAGTTTCCAAGGAATCGAACTTCTTAAACTTGCTCAGCCTCAAAAAAGAAGACATTGGTCTTCAGCATGAGTTATCCTCGACAACTCTAAAACTGAATATTAGGCAGATGGGAACAGGAAAGGAAACCTTACTTTGCGACACATCTACAGGAAGGGATCGTCCAATAGTACCAAAACATTATCGACGCAACGTCTTCAATACGTTGCACAATCTTTCTCATCCAGGTGCTCGTGCAACAGTCAAACTTATAGCCGAACGCTTTTGTTGGCCTGGCATGAATAAAGACGTGAGGGAGTGGGCACGCTCCTGTGCACGCTGTCAGAAATCTAAGGTCATAAGGCACAACAAATGACCCTTAGGTTCTTTCAAAACCCCTGACGCTCGTTTCGACCACGTCCATCTATATTTGGTAGGACCCTTACCCGACTCGAACGGATACTCATATCTCTTAACATGCGTAGACCGTTTCACTCGATGGCCAGAAGCAGTACCGATTAAGGGCATTACTGCTGAAACCGTGGCCCGCGCTTTCGTCGAACGATGGGTAGCAAATTTCGGCTGCCCTTCCACGATCACTACAGACCGCGGACGCCAATTCGAATCTGGACTTTTCCGTTGTCTGACCTCATTTTTAGGAATCACGCGCTTCCGAACGACCGCCTACCACCCACAAGCAAACGGGTTGGTAGAACGTTTTCATCGACAACTAAAAGCCTCATTATCAGCTTCAAACGTTTCACAGTGGACAGACGCTCTTCCACTCGTCTTGCTAGGTATCCGCAATGCAGTGAAGGTTGACATTGGATACATGGCATCTCAACTCGTTTACGGAAAGACACTTCGACTCCCAGGAGAATTTGTAGATCCTTCAGCTTCTTCATTGAACACGGATCTAAACTCTTACACGAGTAGGCTTACAAACGCTATGCGTTCAGTTAAACCTACTCACACTCGACCTCAATCAATTGATGTTTTCGTTCAACCCGAATTACGACATAGTACACACGTCTTCGTTCGTCGAGACTCACATCGACGACCCCTCGAATCAGCATACGAAGGACCCTTCAAAGTTCTTCAACGCGAACCTAAGTACTATGTAGTCGATAAGAACGGCACGAACGATAGCATCAGTATCGATTGACTCAAAGCAGCGTACTTAGAAGGAAAACCTAGCTACGTCGATTTTCCTTCCGTACAAGCGAACGACACAGCCACTACACTCGTAGTACCCTACACGAAAACCGACACACAACTTGATACTTCGTCAACATCGATAGATAAACCTAAAACAACGCGTTCTGGAAGAAGAGTAAGATTTCCAGAACATCTTAATGAATATTGCACGTAGGACATAAGCTTTATCTTGAATTACCTTTTCATAGTTTATTATAAAAAATTTTTTAATATGCTCATTTTTTTATTTATATAAATAAAGCAAAAAAAACATTTTTATCTTTTTTTGAGCGTATATATATATATTTTTTATATAAAAAAATAACTTTTTTCCTGATCGCTTTTACGCTGTTTGTAAGTATATTAGTTCATTTTTTTCCGCTCATCTTGTGTCCCTACGCAAGTACGAGTGTATTTTCGACATGCACTCACACGTTTTATTTTTCCTGTTTTCCAGGACGGCTGGAAAAGAACGACGAAGTTTCGCAAGGAACCGAAATTTTCATTGTACTTTATTTCTTTATTGCTATGTTGTACATTTTGGTCCCATAGTTTAAGGAAAGACGACCAGACGCTGCTAAACGAAGAGTGTTTACCAACGACAAACTCGTTGGGTTTAAACTTCTGGCTGGTCACGTCTTAGGGGCATCACTACCTCACTAGGGGGGGAGTGATCTGTAGCTGTAAATAATTCCCCAAAATCAATAGTTCATTAAGTGTTCGACATTGGATGCTGACCACGTTGTTTAAGTGGACTTGTTTAGCTGAAGGCTTTCGGTCATGCATCCGTACCAGATGACGTTTCAACTCGGCGTGGGACACAGCTCCTACGTATCATTAGCCAGCTTATAGAAAAGGTCCTCGATATATTGGTAACGAATCAAATATATCTTTCCTGCCTCTTCTCGTCTGACTTCTATCTGACTGGGAACGATCGAATATAGAAGGTGCTACTGGTAGCTAGTTGTAAAACTAGAATATCCGTTGTATCCTTCAGTCTAGTTGAATTCGAGTTGTCCGTTGTAACCCGTGCTTCCTCTGAAGTGTGAAGGTCTTCATAATTCAGTCAACCTCCGGGAGAAAGAGAAAGGAGAGTAAGCAGGCTTGTCTGACTTTTGTCCTTACTTGAAATTCGTCTGACAGCTCTCCTCCATGCACCACTTTGCAGTGTAGTCTGTCGTATGAATCCCGGATTATGTTGACGATCTTCTCAGGTTCACCGTAGTGTACAAGAAGGTTCCATAAGTCCTCCTATCCACGCTGTCGAATGCCTTTTCATAATTAAAGGATTTGATGTAAAGTGATAAGTCTCTTTCAGACGATCGCTCAATAATTGACTGCAGCGTCTCGAATTCATCTGTACACTACCGCTCCCTATGAAACTCTATCTGTTGATCTCGGAGCTGAGTGTCTTCTGGATCTTTCATCCGGTTCAACAACACTGTTGAAAACTTTTCCTGGTACTGACAGTAGTATGATGCTCAAATCTCCTTTCTTTGGTATACTCGGTGTCGATTTCTATATGCTTGGAGTAGGTAATCAACAAATATTCCCGAGTTTCCCTTACTACGAACTTGTAATACAGAGGAGATATTTTAGGCTAAAACTTCTTGATCAGAGTTCTTTCACGGTACATAACTACCAAAACTAGTTCGCTAACTGATTATATAGGGATTTTTTGTTGAAATAATACCACCCATGAAACCGTTCGCCAGGGGCGACAGCAAGATTCTCTAACCAGTACATGAATGTAGAGGGGTATGTGATGGTGTCGCACATAGATCACATTTATCATCAGTCTCATCGAACAGTTCTGTTTTTCAGTTTTCAAAAGTACCTGAAATAACCTCACCTAACAGTTGATTATAAACGATAACATACGAGAATATTTTGAGCTCACTAATAAGAGGTTGTCTATCTAGATCATTCCTTAATTTTACTTTATATCTACAAAACAAGACATCTCGAAATGCTTTTTCAATCACCTATTCCATAAATAACCCTTTTTCAATCTGTAGTGGATGTCGAGTCGAAGACGGACTATGATCAACACTACAATTCGTTTACGCGCCCAAAAACTACTTGGTTCCTTTGGTAGCTTGTAAATCAGAAGGCTTTATTAGTCCAGATCAATTGTATTTATTGGCGATCTCGTGGTATCGAAATAATACCGAGACGTGCCAAAGAGTACAGGCGAACAGGCAGTGCGTGGGCAAGTTCGAACCAAACTAGGCGGAGAGCGAAAGCAGAAGTGAAACTGATACAGTTAAACAAATACAGTAAAACAATCTCTGGTACAATTGGCTACAATAATAATAATTGTTTCCGTTATTCCAATCGTGTTCTTATCGAGACTGGCCGGTCACTACAAATCCTTCAGTATTAAGAGCAGTAGTTCCCTAGGCTTTTATTATCTCCTATAATATGTATTTCTGTAAAGATCCTGTTTCATTATCAAAGTATTCACTGATTTGTTTGATTTTATTTTCTTGTGTGAGCCACTTATTTTAGGGACTGTGGTATTGGAAAGGCCAGATTCTATCATAGGTCCATTCGACTATGTTCTTTAAATTTCTTTTCATGTTTGCGGAATTATTCAGTCTTGGAACGAATGTTTTCATTGAGGATCAGCTAAAGCATTATCTTCATTCTTCCCCACTAATCACGCATTTTCAACCTGTAGCAGATCTTAAGGAACTGTTCACTCGCTAACAAATGTCAGGAAAAGATGGTCAAGGTCATAGGCTGTTGAACAATTTGATACTAAATCACAGCGGCCAATATATTTGCAAAGGTCTTTGACGAGTTTAGCCATTAGATCCTAGTTTTGCTCCCTATGTTGTTATAATCTGAGACTTGTGCTACTACTGATTGTTTTCTATTGCTTACAACAATAAATTTAAATACATTGTGGGCTCTTGAGGGGTCGTCGACTCAATTTTTGTCTTGTTCTTCTGTTTTCCAGCCTTTCACGCAACTCTGCATGCTTCCCTGGTAATCATAGTACCTGGCTAAACGAAATTCGCTACAGGGGCAATGGGGATACTTGATAAAATTGCCGATATTGAGAATGAAATTGCAAGGACGCAGAAAAATAAAGGTTTTTTGCCTTATGTTATATTAACACTCTTAAAAAGCGACGGAGTACCATCTCGGTTTGCTGAAAGCTAAGCTCGCCAAGTACCGTTCTCAACTACTGGAGACACAAAATAAAGCTACTAAAGTATGTCCATTCATCGTGCTTACTCTGTAAGGGTGACGGATTTGATGTCATGAAATCAGGCGATGCTCGGGTATCTTTAATTGGCTTTCCATCCGTCGGGAAGGTTTGATATTTTCATATTTCGTTGCTGATTTTCTTATTCTACTAGTCCACGCTCCTAAATTCTCTTACTTCTACACACAGTGAGTGCGCATCATATGAGTTCACAACTTTGACGTGCATACCGGGTGTTATTGAGGTACTTCATACGGTTAATAGTACATCATTTTCAAGTATAAAGGTGCTAATATCCAGTTATTGGATCTTCCAGGGATAATAGAAGGGGCGTCACAGGGTCAGTTACGTATCGGTTGCATTTTTTGCATTTTACACGAGTCTCAGTTTCCTTTCTGCTCATGTCAAATGTCTGGTCATATATTTTTATAGCCATAGTTATCTCTGCTAGATATAAAAGACTGTTATCTAAACTCCTATCTGTATGGGTTTTTTATTTCAGGGAAAGGGCGGGGACGTCAGGTGATTGCTGTTGCCCGGACGGCTGACCTCGTACTTATGATGCTTGACGCCACCAAGCCTGATGTCCACCGGTAAGTATTTCAAGAGTTCGCCAAATAGTTAGTAATTGCAGTCATGGTAGAATAATAAAGATAGGTTTCAGCGTCAGAGCACACTAGCAAAAGGTCTAAACTTCCGAACATTGTTATGAGGGTCTTAATCAAAGTACTTGTCGTTTTTTTAACACACCCATAGCCACGAACTCCACGAGTAAGCACCACATATCTATGTAATTGTTCACAGCCTTCAATGGGCATTTTCTTAATTTCATATTACAAGTCGAGATAGTACGTTATTCAGTACACAAAACGTCTCTTTTCTCAATTTTCAGTTTAACCACTCGGCTCAAACTGTTTATCAAATAGAAACCCATCAACTTTAAATTCACTAGCTAGCATTTCAAACAGGGTGGTAGTATAAGCCAACCGTAAATTATCAATTTACACTTACTGTGTTTAGACCCCATCTCGTGTTTTCATTAAAGGGGTTTGTTTTTTTAATCCTATTTCAGGAAGTTACTTGAAAATGAACTAGAAGCTGTGGGTATTCGATTAAATAAAAACAGACCAAATATTTATTTCAAGGTAATTTTAAATTTTACCATTGTCCTAAGGTCCCTAACTTTTACAATGTCATAAGGGATAATTAAGAAGAGTACCAATACTGAACCTGTGGTTTAGTTTTATAAACACGACTATGAAATCACGTAATTGAGTCAGGTTTCGTCTCCAAAGACTTAGCTAGGTGGTTTCGTTTGTCACTGACTTGGATTCAACCAAGCAGTCACGTACAAGCTTTTGAAGTATCTTATTAGAGCCAGCGATATTACATTGATCTGACTTCGGAAAGCGAAACAAGACTCAAATACTACCACAGCTTCATGCTTATTGGCCAGCTTTCACATAAAGTCAGGTCACTTTCCTCATATAAATAAATCATCATAATTTCCGGTCTATCGAAACGGTAGTTACAGTAAGAGTTGTTAAATATTAGCATTAACATCTAAATAGGCGGAAAACACCATTAAATAAATCACGACTTTTTCAGTGTTGAAAATAGTTAACAGTCATGTAATGTAGCTTCAGTGTTAATTTTCTCCATAGCTACAAGCACCTTTGCTCTCCGCCAAACTAGATTATTACTGAGTGTCGTTGGCCAATGAGAAATAAACAGCTTTGCTAAACACCGGTTTTTACTCAAAATGAATATGTGGGCTACTCTTCATTCACGGCCTTGCGGTCCGGTCTTTCGTGAGCGTTCTGTATAATGGTGGAGATCATTTCAGATTATTCTCATCGACGTAAGAGATTCAGTAAAGTTCTATCTACTCTGTCAAATGTTTTTTCATAGTTAAGGGATTTGATGTATAGTGATAAATCTCATTCAGACTATTGCTCAATAATCGTCTTTAGCGTCTCGAATTCATCTGTACACTACCGCTCCCTATGAAACTCTATCTGTTGATCTCGGAGCTGAGTGTCTTCTGGATCTTTCATCCGGTTCAACAACACTGTTGAAAACTTTTCCTGGTACTGACAGTAGTATGATGCCTCCGTAGTTCTCACATTTGCTCAAATCTCCTTTCTTTGGTATCTTGATGAGGTGTCCTCCTTTCCAGTTCAGCACTTGTTATTCCTCCCAAATCTTCCTGGATAGAACTTGTAGCATGTTTGCAGTTACTTCTATGTCTGACTTGAGTGCTTCAGCTTGTATGTTGTCTAGTCCTGGTGCTTTCCCACTCTTGGTTTGTCTGATGGTCGTGGTGATTTCTTCGATCGTTGTTGGAGTGACACCTATAGGAAGGTCTATATGTGCTGTTTCGATGTCTGATGGGTTCACTGAGTCTGGTTTACTCGGGAGTTCTTCATGGTGTTCAACCCACCCACTCCTTTATTCGAAGATCTCAGCGATTGTCTTGCCTTCTTTGTCTTTGACTAATCGCTCTGGTTTAAAATAATTCCTTGCTAGTCTCTTTGTTGTGTGATATAGCTGTCTCATATTTCCTTCTCTTTCAGCTTTTTCTGCTTGTCGGCCCTAATGTTCTTCACTTGCTTGTTTGCTTCCGTTTATTCAGCTTGTGCCTTGACTTTCTCTGTTCTTGTGCGACTGATGCTGATTGTCGTCTTCTCTTTATTCTTTTCCTGAATGCTACTCGGGGTTTCGATGAAGGTCCATTCCTTATGATGGTGCTTCCTGGGGCCCTGATCCTCCTAACACATTGAGGCTATTGTTTCTTTAACCCTTTTCCAGTTGTCCTCCATAGTAGTTTCTTTCTCTTTGAGTAGATCTTGTAAAGCTTGGAACCTGTTGCTAAGAGCTATCGTAAGTTCGTTGAGTTTGTTAGTATCTCAAAGGAAGGATGTATTAAACCTTTGTAGCGCTGTTTCTCCAGTTGTCCAGTGCCTCTTTAGCTTCAGTTTAATCTTGTCAACCAGCAGATAGTTATATGAACCTAAGCCAGTTTCTCTCTATGTTCTCATGGCTTTCATGGATCTTCCGAAATTTTCGGTGATGCAATATAATCGATCTCGTTCCATGTAATGTGATCCGGATAGACACATGTAGCTTTGTGTATGCATTTGTTGAGGAATATAGTGCCTCCTATGACCATTTCATTGAATGCTTATTAATTTGCAGATATCTATATTCTCGTCCCTTTCCTTCAGTCAATGCTGTCTCATGATATCTTCATACTCGGTGTTGTCCATTCCGACTTTTGCATTTAGTTCTTCCATCAGGATAGTCAGTTCCTTCCTCGAGCACTTTTCTACGACCGATTGCAACCTACCATAAAACTGGTCTTTATCGTCTCCACTGCTGTCACTAGTGGTGGCGTAGAACTGAATAACGTTCATTGTAATTTCTTTGTTTTGAAGGATGTTTTGATGTTCCTGTATCCACAAGATTCTCATTCTGTAAGCGCTGTTCGTGCTTCTCTGGATATTATAACCGGAACTACGTATTTGTATGTTGGGTGAGGGATATTCTTCCTCATGTTAAAAGTACAAAAACACCGGCTTTATGATTTCCGAGGAACCTAGCCTTTCACCATGAAATTTCACAACTCTTACTAAATGATTTTTCATTCACAGGATATAGTTCAAATGATCTTTTACGATCGTCATTGTTTATCTAGGTTCTTTTCTACTCCTTGTGGTGTGTAACCTTATGTTAAACCCTACTTTATTTTTACCTGGGACTGAAACCAGCCGTCATCATTGAAGGGCTCCAAGCCTAGTATGAAATTTGTTTAAATATTAGAGTAAAATGAAAAAGACTAAGCGAATCTTCTTTGGAGTCATTTCTAACAGTTTGAGTTGTTCTGTTCAATAACATTTACGCAAACGATTTTGAGCCATGTCATTCAAGGTCTCTAACCATCGGTTGCTATCAACTCGCGAATCCCAACCAGGTAGTCTACACCTACCAACATGGCTCAGTCCACTTGTCAGTGACTTCATGGATTTGTTCCATGTTTTGGTCTGGCCGCCCCTAACTTTCTTCCAACCTACTCCTACACTATAAAGCATTGCACGTCGGGGCAGTCGGTGGTTGGGCATATGTAACACATGTCCCAGCCATCTCAACTGATGAAGTTTCACTACTTCATCAATCGATTTGCCATCCTTACCTAGTACCCGTTTCCTAACATCTGCATTACTTACCCGGTGGTCCCAGGATATGCGAGCAATCCTTCGAAGACATCTATGATCGAAAACTAGTAGCTTACGAATATCCTCTACTCTTATGGGCCATGTTTCACTGCCATAAAGTAGGACGGAACGAACTGCTGCACAGTAAACCCGTCCTTTTGTTGCTAGACGGATATCTCGCCTACGCCATAAATCGCGCAAGTTGGCGAAAGCTAGACGAGCCTTCTGTATCCGTGCTGAGATTTCGTCACATACCAGACCACAAGGGCTGATGAGACTCCCAAGATAAGTGAAGCGGTCGACACTCTCAACTACTTCACTCCCTATCATTAGTTCAGGTGTCGATGCAACCCAATCCTGAAGTAACATTTTGCACTTCGAGGGAGAGAATCGCATCCCGAACATGCCTGCATTGTTACTTATGGTGGTCAGAAGACTCTGCATTTTGTCAGCGTCTTCACCGAGTAAAACTATGTCGTCGGCGTATTCTAAGTCAACAAGTGAGCCTCCTGGTAAAAGTTCAACTCCTGGAGGTTTAGCTGATGAAAGTGCTATCTCTAAAAGTATGTCAATGACAAAGTTAAACAAGAATGGGGAGAGTGGACAGCCCTGACGAACGCCACTTGTGGTAATCAGTTCTGATGACAGTTCGCCATAGGCTCTAACTCGACCAGTTGTGTTCGAGTAGAGAGCCTTTATGAGGTTAATGTACTTCTTTGGTACTCCTTTCACTGGCAAACACTGCCATAGAACCTCACGATCAACGGATTCAAATGCCGCCTTAAGGTCAAGAAATACTACGATTGTGGGACGTCTGAATGTATGTCTATGTTCTAGGACCTGACGTAGAGCGAATATCTGGTCTATGCAACCACGTCCAGGTCGAAAACTAGCCTGGTTTTCTCTAGTCTGCTCTTCACGAGCTTTGGTTAGGCGCCTAAGTATTATTGAAGCTAATATTTTAGACACTATATTAGTCAAACTGATTCCTCTGTGATTGTCACAGGAGGACTTTTGTCCTTTCTTATAGACTGGCACAATCAGTGATTGGGACCAGTCAGATGGGATTACGTCCAGTTCCCAGATTCTACCTAAGACCTCAGTCAATCTCGCTGCTAGTACTGGACCACCATCCTTAAAAATCTCAGGGGTCAACCTGTCAGGGCCTGCGGCTCTCCCTCGCTTTAGTGTTCCGCCCATCGATCCAATCTCCTGGATTGAGAATGAATGACATGTCCATCTTTGTCTGAGATAGTTTCGCTGACAGTTGGGTTCCTAATGCCGGTTTCTTTAATAAGTCTAAATAGCTGTCTGCTGTGACCTATCGCCGCTGTCTTTTCCATCTCTCTTGCTTTCGCTACCCACCACTGTTCACGATCATTACGTGGGCTTCTTATTAGCCTTCGCTTAAGCTGACTCCGCTCTTCGTTATGTTCAGAGCCAGGTGGGATGAGTTTTCGAGCGTCTATCAGTGCGGTAGATGCTGTCGAGATCCATTGTTTCTCCCTGACCTTATGGCTTACCTTACTAGCGAATATCACTGCTGTTTCCACGGCTTTACGGATGTCCTTCCACGCTGCCTCGGGGTGGGCACATTATTTATTTATTTAAACACATATATATTGGTACAAAAGGGCACCAGGTACATATGCGCCACACAAAATAATGAAAGTAGGAAGAGAAGGGATGAAAAGATAAGGCGGACTAAAATGTACAACCAGAAGACTCTTTCAAATAGGAAAGTAAGAACCATACTTTATGTAGAAAGTAAAAGAAGGTTGCAGCAGGATCGCCACTGGTTTCTATTCTGAGCCATATCTGATAACGTCTCTAGCCACTGTGTTGCACCATCTCTCGGACCCCAACCAAGGAGTCGTGAAGGACCAACAGAAGCTAGCTCTTTGCAGCTCTCTTTCATGCCACGACACCAT